TTTAAATCGGATTATTATATAATTCCTATCGGATAAAAATCAAATTTCAGACAAATAGCTCATTATTTATTTTAAGTACCTATTTAAAGTTCAAATAAGCGGGGAACATCAGCTGGACCCTATTTCACTACACTCTTCTAAACTTTAAATACTTATAAAGTTATAAATAATAAGTTACTTGTACAAAATTAAATTTTTGTGCATCCAAAGTACTCCGAAGAACATAAAAATGTTTATTTAGATTAGTTAATTTAAATTTAGACTATTAATATTAAATAGTTAAATTCATTAGATTTTAATCATTGATAAATATTTAATAAGGACATTTTATTTTGAATATATTGTTGTTGGACATTGATAGTTAATGGGAATAATACGGTAAGTGCACAATAATAATACTCACATCTGCAGTGCATATCAATATCACTTCAGTGTGAAATTATCAGCTTTATCTTAGAATATCGCTTGGATGAATGGATTTATATTTAAGTTTGTATTATTTTTTAGTTTAAAATACTAAAGGTTATAATGGGTATTTATACATTCATACGACAGTAAACATTCTGATACAAAATGAGACTTCATGTTTCTTCGTATTACAACTTTGGTTATTGCATTTCATATTTACAGTTTCGCATTTTTTATTTTTTTCAATACTTAATAACACATGTGATTATTAGTTAGTAATTGAGTTTACTCTCGTTCACAGAAAAAAAGATTTTTGCTGAGATAATGGTTTCTTTTTATATTTTATTACACAGTTTTATATTATTTATTTTTATATGAGTGGAAGGAAAATACAATTGGTCGGTGTTGTTTCAGGAAATGACCGAGGMAAAGATGTAGGTATTTTTCGAGATGGGTAGGAAGGTTGTAAAGGGTGACAATATAAACCTGACCTCAGGCGGAATATTTCATGACACGGCACTGTGAGGTCCATTGAAAATGTCTATCGGAAAACATAAATTGGAAAGATGTCAGGTATAACAATTATGGTGACTGGTGACATACAGTTATAATACAGAGTATATCACGGAGATCGACATATTCATAATACAATATTTTATTATAATACATATTTAAATTCTACAAGATCCTAGTTTGTGTGATTAGATTTTGAAAATAAATTTTTTTTATTAAAACTATCGTTTATATTTTATAAATAAAATTAGCTAATTTATTTTCCGATTTTCGATAACCTTTAAAAAATATTTTTTTTCATTTGTGGTCCAATAATCGGTTGATGCAATTTGAAAATAATTTTTGTATTATAAACAAATAACTATAGAAAAAAAGACCCAACTCCTTGGTTTTTCTTGTTTAGATCTATTCAAAATCTGAGGGGAGCGGGATCAATAGGTTCCAATTCAAGATTATATACTATTATTGTATCCAAAAAATATTTAAAAAACTTCAAATGAAGATGAACCCTTATTCAAAAGCCTGTAGGTACCTACCATATTATTTTGATAGTTTGATAATATACAATTTAAAAATTATTCGGTTCACAATAATATTATATTAATGTGATTGTTTTTTCAACCACAAAAGTTTTTGTACCAATATATTTTTCATTGTTTATAATTTGGAATGGCACGCGTGATGGTATGTTATTTGATAATTACTATTCTGTTATGTTGTAAGGTATAGGTCCTAGGATAATGGATTATTTATTTAGGGCTTAAAAAACTTACACTTATTGTAAATGCTTTATAAAATCGTTTTATTTT